AATCAACCGCCTCATCGCAGTGAATTCTCGACCAAACAAAAATCGAACAACCTTTCTCCTTCGACCCTTTCTCAAACTCCCTTTCCCATTACCCAACGTTTCCGATGGAAAATCCAGCTGTAACCTCGCCGCAAAAACCCTCAAACGAAACACACCTGAACACTTTAACTTCGTTCTCCATTTCTTCTACTAAAGACGAAAACAAGGAATAGTTTGAAATTTGGAAAATATTTGAAATCGTAACTCGGAATTATAGTGTCGATTATGTATTTATCGACAAAAGCATACATGAATTCATTACGAAATTATCATTTCTATTAATAGCAACATCGACCCCAGAGATTAGTAATGAACAATTAATACGACAAATAAATACTGGAATATTGAAGTAGTTTTCAAACTACAATGTACTCTTCAAAAATAAATTTCAATTTCTCTTATCGTTTCATGATAAAAATAAAACGAAATTGCGTCTTGAAAATTCAGCAAAGAATTCAAGCCGATTTTATTCTCCGAAGACTTTTCCTTTATCCCAGGAAAATTCCTGTTTTCTTCAAAAAATTCAGAAACGGAAGGAAATCTTTGACGCGTCGTCGAATCCTGCTACGAATATCGCGCAAGTCTCGTCGATATTTCAGTTCTCTAAACAAGCGAAAAAGAGGAAGAGAGAGAGAGAGAGAGAGAAAAAAGACGACGAGCTTTGTTCGTTCGACGACGCCAGTCCGTTATTGTTCCCCGTGGAATTCATTAGAGAAATCCAATTTACAATAGCACGATCGACGAGCAGACCAAGCAGTCATATACACGAGGGGCGTTAATTAGTCCGTAGGCGCCTTGTTTGCCCGTCGTGATTTACCGGCTGTTCGTCCAACGACTCGGTTCGTTCTCATATTATTTAATAAACGATCCACGTCCCGGATATTCCCCGCCACTTCCGGGCTGGATAATCCCGTGGAACAGGTCGACCGTTGAACGGTTTATGGATGTTGCCTGGTAAACGTTACGTTCCTTGTTGCTACGCTGATTAGCAGTTCGTATAAATTCTATCCCGCGTTATCAAGGATCATTTTCGCGACGATTATCATAAAATCTCGACGGCACGATTTTATCAACTCTATTTTGTTGATTCGCGACAACGAGTATCTACGAGAGATTCGTTGCTAATTACAAGAGTGAGTTAGAGCGCGTACGCTCGAGCATGGTGTAATCCAGATCGACCGACTAATAAAGCACGGTATGCTAGAAATTTAGTAGACATCGTGCTGCGGTGTAATCCCGCCCCGATTGGCTTGTAGAGTTGCCTACAATGAAGCCAAAATTACGATGAAATTTCTCGACTAATCGTGGCTGATAACCGCGGTGGGATAAGTGTAATAAAATTTACAATTATTATATTTATCACCAGACATAAATAATTTAGAAAGACAATCCAGTCCCATTGGAAAGTCGAACAAACCGCGTGCACTGTGTATACAATGTAACATACAACGTCAAATGCAGGGCTGTCAGAAACAATGACAACTCGCAATAACGCGTGATTCCAAGGTAAACTAAATTCATTTCAAACAGATTACCATTCAGCGTCGTAATTTCAAGCCACTTTGAAAAATTCAATCCTTCGCCTGTCAGAACGTTCCGTTTCAAAAGCGGTTTTCGAGCCGCGTGAACTGTGCGCTCGTTTCGAAACGGGGAGGAAATGTAGTTTCTATGAAAGTGAGGGTTACGCTTCGCGAAGTTGAACAGTTTCTCCGCAGCGGTTCGTACGTTTACGAACGGTGTACCGAGCAAGGTGAACAAATTCAGCCGGTCGTGATTAATCGTTCCGTGGATCGATCGGATGGAAAAGAGGGTGAAATACCGGAGGGGGCGGGGACGGGGTATTGTCGCTCCGTGTCCAGCCTGCAACCCCCGGCCGGTTATTCGAAATCCGATTTTCAGGCTTTGCTCGGACAAAGTCGTCGGATCGTTACGCGTTCGTCAATTGCCGCTCGTTAGAGGCCCGTTCGATTGCCGTCGATATTAACTGATTATTCGCGCGGACCGTTTTCACACACGTAGCCGCTTTTGTTTCGCGCCACGTCAGGCAGCCTAGCCGGTCTGAAGCGAAATTTTCGAATGAACACAAAGGGCCACGACGATTGCTCGGACGCGATTTTGCGGCGACGAGGCTAAATGGATCATCGATTCGGTGATTAAGAAAATTGAAATAAACAAAGGTCTACTCGAAACCCTGGAAAACCGACGGCGAAGGGATTAATTAGAAAAATGAAGAGGGTATAATTTCTTCGTTGCGTACAAACGGTGGATGAGTAGGTTAAAAGGGTTATCGAGTGAAGAGGGTTGAATGGGGGAGGAAAAAAACAGGGCAATTTCGTCGATTCACTTACAGCTAGCTCGACCGATCGACTGATTAAACGGACTTGGAAGTTAATCGCCTTTCGATCGATCCTTCTCTAATTTTCATTCACTCCGTTCGCGAGGGGCGGCCGGTGTTTCGCATGCACGATTTTTCATTTCCAGAACGGACACGAATACGATTTCGAGCCAGCGATCTGTGATGCGTGTATGCGTCCTGATTACGAGATTTATTTGACGATCGACTAAAAACGGGACACCGTTCGGTGTACACACACCCATACACGTACCCTGGCAACAATAATTACTCGACGCTGTAGTTTGCACTCTCAGCGCTAGCCCCCTGTACGTCCGTCAGTCCGTTACCCTTTTGCTCCCGTTCAGCAATCGCATTACGCTTGAAATTAATCTCGAGCATCCGCAAAAGCGATCCACTTCGCGCTAGTAATCGCTCGTCGACAAACAAACGCGATAAACTCGCGTAATCCAGCGCGATAAACTCCGCTTGACAATCTGAAAAGCTGCGTCGCGCACGATTTTACAGGACAATTCCTGATCTCGCATTTCTATCGTTTTATTTATCGATCAGCAGTATTTATAAATGGTTATAAAGATAATGGTTGATTTCGTTTATTCGTTCGTTTAATCGTATCTCGCGGCAACGACGGATATTGCTTGATTATTGCTCGGGATCTTCAAACACACGCTGCCTAGAGATCTCTAGGCAGACAGATATTCGAACACCCCGCGGGACAGTTGTCGAGGAGGACGAGGGGGCGAGAGGGTACAGCATAGCAGCAATCAGGTACGTTAATGCCAATCAATTATGTGTTGGGAACATCGTGCACCCCTCGTTCTCCCACCAGCTGGCTACCTTCGTTTAGGAATCTGTTGGGTTTATCGATACGCACTCTGCTGGGTATATTAGTTATCGATCTATCCTAGTGAATCCTGAGTCGATAGGCTAGATTGGGGCTCGCTGGGCGAACTATCAACACTGCGGTGATCGGTAATTTTACCTCCTACATTTACACTAAGGATACATTTAGTGCTCTGAATTTTCTTAACAATTAAATCAAATGTTTTCAACAATTTCAATCCTATCGTCTTAATTAACCGTTTAGACGCAACGATTTTATCCAAGCGTATTTTCCTCAACAAGACGTGCATCAATTAATTAACGTTAATTTCCAACAAGTTGTTAGCTATTTCACGCTCCAGCCTGTGTGTAATTCAATTACCCCTAACAACACGAATTTACAACGCCCTTAAACCCTAAGTATTCGCCCAGAAAATCGGTACCAAGAACGATTACATACCAGGTACAACGTGTAATCACATTATCGCGAGCGTTTTATCAATCTCTGTCAAACACCTTCAACCCTTCCATCCCGGCGAGCTACACTGCAACATAATCAACCGTCTATCGATTACAACCCACCAATTTCACCCGCCTAGTGGCAACAAAAATCCAGCCTACTCGTTAACATAATTCCGACAGACGTCTTTACGAAATAATTAACCCCGACGATCAATCTTCTTATCGTTGCACGGCTAATTCCAGCCTGTGTCTGTTATGTATTCGAAGAAACGTCGACCCTTGTCTGAAAGGGATTGCAACGAAAAGGTACGATGTTAATTGCAAGCGCGAATGCGAAGAATATAAGTAAAATAAAAGAGGATTCCCGATCGGTTTATTCCCTTCGTTGTAGTCGCGTTAAGACAGAGGCTACAAATCAGCAAGATTTGTCCTCGAACGGGCTCGAAATGCGACGAAAGCCTGTAATTAACGATCCTCGATCGTTCCGGATAATTAAGCCGCAAGTTCGCGACAATTAGTCTGGCAACGTACAGACTTGCCTCTTCGCGTGTACCAATTACCATTCAGGAATCCCCTCGACATCAGCGAAAGTTCGCAACAGAGTGAAAAGGAACATTCGACCCCTTTCTAGCCGATCTGAAAGTTCTATTATCCGTCAGACACGCGTCTTCGCCTTTCGGAATATATTCGAGGAACGACGCCAGTTAAGAACCGTTCTCGCGTCTCGAAACGCTTCCGCTCGCGTTTTCAGGATTCTCGTAAATTGCCGGTACGCTCATGTGGGCTGACTGTCGAGAGGACCCCGTCACTTCTCCATCAGAGCGAAACTACTCGCGAAAGAGCAGTCTCAGCCTATCAGATTCTCGAATGCGAAGAAAACGCTCGAATAGCAGATGCTCGCTTTCCATTCCGTTCCCCCCTATTCTACCCGTTCATGCCTCTCCGCTCTTTTCAATATCGCTCCGTCTACTTTCCTCCGATTTTCTTCATTGCACTCTCGTCCTAAGGATTTCTTACCTACAACTCCAACTCCCCTACTTCTTTACTAGCCCCCGTTTTATTTTCCATCCTTCAATCACGTCCGCATTCCCCTTTCTTTTTTTTTTTTCTTAGATTAGCTCCATCTTTGTATTTCTGCTTTTATCTCGAGTTCGTTATTGTCTGTACCTCTGTTGTTCGTTTGCCTCATTATTTTCTACCTGTATCGGTTTTTCTCCTTGCTGTTTATTTTTACCGATTTCTGTCTCCTTCTTGTTCAATTCTTTCGACTTTTCTAATACACGAAAGTTTGGAAGACCGAAAGTTCGAGTATCGTTCCACTTACCTGAAGACAGTGTCTCCTGGCGAGCCAGCCGATGTGTTGTAGCTGCGGCGGATCTGGAAGTGCGGAAGCTAATCGCAACGCCTTCAAGGTGAGAGCTGCCAGAGCCGAGTGAAGAGCGTTGAACCAGACGTTCGCTTCGGCGTTGTCAGCGGCCCTCAACCAACATTCGTGCACCCCATCCGGTGAATGCAGTTCCAGGATTCGTCCCTCTGTAACAAATCAAAGCAAAAATGTTAGAAAAAAGAACGAAGAAAATTTCAAAGGGAAAATTATCGAAAGACGACCGTGTAAAAAGTAACGAAGAAGAAAGTAGAGGAGTCTTATTAGCTCCTTTCAATCATCTAATTTTCCAGCAAGGTTCACGCAAGAAAACGCAAAGGAACGACAAGTTTGGCAGACTCGTTCCGCGTCTGAAGCAACCCCTTGAAGAAGCACGAATCCCTTTCAACGAAGTCGAGCTCATCCTCCCCCGTAGCCTCTTGTAATATCCCTTTTCGAGGCAGACGGCTAGCCAGCAGGGGGCTATCAGGTTTCGGACTTAATAGTTTTCGCATCACGAGCCGGGCAACATTATAAAGGCGTCATATAACTTCGTGAGTGGATGACAACTCAATTTCAACTTCGGCCTGACGTTCCTCGCGTGCATACCTCGAACCTGGCTCGCTAATTTCTAAGCGAGGGTATCGTAAGTACGCGATGAAAGCGTAACTTATCTAAAAATGAATCCAACTTAATAATTCACGGTTACTTAACGAAACATCTCGAAGCTCGAAACGATCAATTTTTATAAAATCGTTTTGATAATTAAAATTATCAACGATCTAAGAAAAGAAACTAGTTGAAGTCTTAAAGAACGTTCAACGACCCTTCGCTCTGTCAATGTTCTCAGTCAAATTCCTGGCGCGATTAAGGGCAACGGGACAACATCGTCGAAATATTTTCCACGCGTTCATCTCTGCTTCGCAAACACCAACTTTCCTTCCCAGAGAAAGAGAGAGAGAGAGAGAGAGAACAGCGTCGGGTTAACTGACGCTCCCTTTCGCCAGCCCCCTTTGGCTCTCGCTGCAACAACACCCCTCGATCCCCCGAGGGCTGGTAACGTTCGTTATCGCTTAAAAGTGTGGAAGAGAAACGAACGTGGAAGTGGATACTTTGTATAAGAGACGGCGGACGTTTGTTACCGCTGCTTTCGCTGCCTGTCTTCTGCTTCGCCGTTTCAAACCAACCCCGAACCCTCCCCTAAAGAGGAAACCGGATACGGCACGGTGTTTAGACGATCTCGACGCGGCCGCATTTAGCATATGGTTTCGGTATCGCGTGCTTTTAACTCCGTTCGTATACACAAACCTCTCTGAAACGTTATCTACCGTGTTTTATTCTTTGTTTTTGTTTATATAAAACAAAACCCTTTTTCGGCTTGGGTTTGAGATCCGATACGAGGGAAGCCGATGGAGAGAAATATTTTTTTGACGATTGAATTTTATTGAAATAATTTTTATTTACCGTTTTGCGATCTTTCCAAGGTTATCTCCGATAAAGACCAATCCCCGGAAGATGGGTTAACGATTCATCGGTAAATTGTCGTTTCAAAGCATCGGTAGTAATACCGGAAGAAGAAAACCCTCGGGAATCTTAGAGTTGGAAATACGAGAGCTCGTTAAAGCGAAGCTGGGCTCATCGTCTCGAAGACGATCCGGCCGCGTTCGTCAAACGAGCCTCGTTTAATTGCTCGCGACGGACACATCGTCGAGACATAGAGTTCGTTTAATTAGCGAAATAACCAACGGCGTCGTTAACTCGACTACCATCCGCCTATCCATACGTCAGCTTTTCAACGTGACCCGGTAATCTCGCTTCCGGTGTTGTGTATCCGCGCGTAATTTGCCTGCCTTTGATCAGCCATCCGTTCTAGCCAGCAAAACCGACCACCACCACCGACGCCGTCATCCTAGATCCTTTGTTTCTGACCGATAAGGTTAGTAAATTAGAGGGTTGACGGCAGAAAAAAAAGTTTAGAACGATAGATCCTCCGCCACCTTGAAACACTTTTCCCCTCCGAGTTTCCCGGGATTTTTCTCTTCCCGGTTTCGAGACGGTAAAAAGATTTACGACGACCCTTTTCTACCAACCAACGACTTTAATTCAAATTTCCTGTTGCTGCTTCCCTTTATTCTCTCCCACCGACACATCCCCTCTATCTCGGATTTTCAACCCTTGTACGTTTCCGTGCTTCCGTTTCCCGCGAGATAAGAGCCCGTGTGTCGCGTTTTATTCAAGAAAGAGGGCGGTTTTAGGGTGGAGGACAGGAAAGAGGTGGAGCTTAGAGGGTGGTTATCGATCGTAAATCGATCAATGCGTTGGTACAACAAATTTAGAGAATTTGAGTTTCAAATTTTTCCACTGTCTTTGGGCGGAATTGATTTCTTACTGAATTAGATCTTCACCCTTATTTTTAAAAAGGATCTTATTTTGCCTCCTTCGTTTCTCTCAGAAATATAATTCTTTTTCTTCAAACAATTCCTTTAATTTCACGTCCATTTACCTCCGGTCTTCTTTCTTGATTCTCCCTCAACGTTCTTACTTGTACATCCCTTTCTTGAATTCTTCTTTGCTTCTTCTCGAGAACCGCTCGCTCCTCTCGGCCGTATCTTCAACTTTAATGACAGTCTGGTCGTCCACGAGACGCGTCGTTAAACGTGACTCCATCCGCGCATTTCACCAGCTTCTTTTCTCTTTATCCGACCGGCATTCGACGCTGCAGAATGGCAGCGCGTTTGGTTTCGTGTTTCTCCGGCAGCCAGCTACACCCAGCGTCTGACCAATCGCCAGTGTCTTCTACTTCGCGAGGAAAACCACGTAACCGAGCACCTTTGTTGACTCGCGACAAACCAGACGATAAGCTTGAGAAACCGACACTCGGCTCTTTCGCTATTTCCTCGTCGCTTTCGACTCTCTCGTCTTCATTTTACGACCTACGTTTTAGTACAACGTTTCTACTTGAAATACAGATTCATTTTTCACCCCCTTTATTGAAGTATTTGTTCGGTAAAGTTTGGTTTCTTTCATTCCCTGCAATTTGGATAATTATTTCTCGCGAGAAGAGCTTCTGACAAATAAATCTTCCGGATTCTAATTTCAATAACAAAAAGCAATGCCACTGTTTAAAGTTGAATAAATTCGAAGATGGAAAAGAAAACAATTCACTCGTTCCGAATAAAAGCAACACGGTTATCCAGATAACGGGATATCTATACCCCGGTTATAATTCCGCCATAAATTTCGCGGACGCTTAATTTCGAGCCTCTCTCCTTTGGCGGAAACGCGAATTTCGTTCGGGGGCCACTCAACCGGCTCGACCGGATCCGAATTTCCGCGCAAACGGTGCGGAAAAGCGGTCGACAGAAAAATTTTACCCGGCGTGTCGAGCAGATTTCGAGAGGGCCAACTTTTTAATTCGCCGCTTCCCCCTCACGCGAATTCGCGAAAACGTTTCTACCATCATCCAGAGGAAACTTGCCACGAGTGTCCTCTCGGTTATGCCGAAATTTTCGTTCAAACTGTTCGAAATTCCGCCTTCCCGCGGGTTCATTTTTCGACGAGTATGCTCTTTGCATTTCGCGGTCGAACAGTTTCCAAAGTGTATTAAACGAATGTACGCACAGAGGATCCTAAACTTTTTCTATCATTCCATTTCACGTTTCTCTTTCATTCATTTTCATAAATTTAAGAGAGTAATGAATCTCTGCGTACAAAACGGCTGTCTCGTCGTTGTCATTCACCGCTGTCATTCTTTTCCTTGAAATAATAGAATGGATGGGTTTCTGTGGCAATGAGAACCGACACGTCTAAGCTCGAGAAGAGGAAGAAAGCTTTTTCGGTAAATCCCTGTTATCCTCCTCTCTCTTTGTCTTCTTTGCTTTTTTTTTTGTTTTAATCCGTTAATAGGATGAGCCGAGGGCGAAGAACGAAATCGATTTCTAGCGGCGAGTTACGGATGCTAGTTCTGGCAAATCTGAGAATTGAATTCCTTGAATTCCTTCGAATGTTTATTGCCTAAGTTTTCGAAGCAAACTTATTTCGGTGGCCTTCTGTTTGCATAAGTACAGAGCGTCAAAATTTGGATGAAATTAAACGATATTTAATTATCGTACGTCTGGCTGATCATCCCTATAACTGTCTAGAATTCCACGTGGTTGTTTTTTCTCCTTTCCATATTTTCTATGGATTCTTTTGTTAAACGGACAGTATTGAATTGCATAGAAAATTGTTCAGCGAGGTACCGTCGTTTCTTTTTATTGGACAATAAAAAAGCTGTACTAGTCGACAGGCCAATAAAGAATATTCAACTGAATGGATTACGGACAAAGCTATTTCACGATTGTCGATGCTCGATTATTATTATTTGTATTTGTTTTATTTGTTTTACTTTTTTTTTTTTTTAAATAGCCGCTTCCCTATTCTATTTATCTTTGCGCGTACACGGCGTGTATTGACCATTCAGGACAGCTTTGTCCATGGCAATATTGCATTCAGAAAGCAAAGCGCTTTGCGGATAATAATTTTATCGACGTTCTATCGATAAAAGATATTAAAGTGTCGTTATCATTTGTTTCACTTCGATAAATGCTCAACGATATAATGCATGTGTATTAATGATACATGGAAATAATTGTACTACAAATACACTGTTCAAACTGGGTGAAAATAAAAATCAAAAAAGAAACAAATTCAAAGTTTTATGATATTAATTTTTTCCCAACAGAGACAGAGGAAATCCCTAGATTCGCCGCTACTTTATTTCAACCCCCAATGGTATCATTCCCTTTTACGACGGGAGGGGGAAAAAACGAAGCAGAAGCAGGAGCAACATAGGAACCATGAGATTCTGTAATTCGTTTCGACGAAGAGGAAATTGTGGGATCTCTGATACCACAAATGTGCATCCCGGCTCCTCCACTTTTAAGGGTTCGCCAACCCTCGACACTGGCTAGTAAGCAAAGATCATGGTATGACCAATTCGCCATATTATAACAGGGGACGATGAAATTTTAGAAGCTTTACATTATCGTCCCACGGCGAAATGTCACTTTAATTAATGCCACTGGGAAACGTAATAAAGATGAGATTATTACTGTACAACATGATACGGTAATAATTGTATTTACGGCGTATCGTTGGTAAAATAGAAATGTTATACGCAACATTTACA